AGATACATAGATAGATAGGCACATAGATACATAGATACATATACATATACCTTCTTATCTCAGCAGAAATAGCTTGAAGTTGTCTGTTGACGTCTTTGAGACAAAGATAGATAGCTGCAAAAGTACAGATACATTTGTATCTCAGCAGTGACGGCTGGCAGTTGCGTCTAGCCGTGCGTTAAAATGTAATTACTATTATTAGTTGTTGTTCTCTTAAAGCGTAACTTGTGATTTCATAACTGTGTCCGAGCGCCACATTAACAATTAATTTGAGCAGTGGCTGAAATGATGTACTTACATTCATTGCATTGCCAACCGGGTCGCCTTATAGAGTCCCATTCAATGCGCATCCCATATAAGGTCAAAGCGAACTCAATCGCCGTCGAGTTGCAATTTGTAAAAACTGCAAGCTGTAAAAACTGTTTTTCTTTTTGTTTTTGTTTTCTGTTTTTTTTTTTTTTTTACTATTTTAGCCAAAAGAAATAGAAAGTTTATTGCCAAAGGCGACATTTTTGCATTTTTCATTTCAAAATAAAGAAGGAAAAAAAAACAAACATCTTGGTCGCTATGATTAAGACACGAAATGAATAATCAAGTTTATATGTAGCCAAACAGCCATCCAAATCGTATGTATGTGGTTTTTAAATTTAGACAAACCAAATAAATTGTGTGGAAAATTTGAAAAGAAGGTGCAAGAAAAATATTTTGAAAAAATCCAATATAAATATATAGAATATACAGAAAATGCAGTTTGAGTATGGAATACCCAAAATGCTGGCAATTTATATATATCTAAAGAATAAAAGTAATTTTTTAGTGCAGCTTCTGGAATTAGGAGTTAGTTTGAAGATCAGAGTGCACTTTATCGTCCACTTCTACAGTATCTAGAATTTCTTTAGATTTCTTTTTTGTTCTGCAGCAAAAAATAAAAAATAAAATAAAATAAAAATGTTGAAAAATACGTGTCAAAAATAAATCGTGTTATATTTTTAGGCAACTTACTCAAAAGCCGAACACTTGCCGAATCCCAACGATCTGAGTTGAATGAGAGAAACGCAGAGATTCTGTGCAAGTCAAATTGCTGTGAGCTTATGTCAGCCTCATCTCTACTTGGGCAGCAGGAGAAGCAGAGCAATTTGACTTGGCAGATGGGACCTGGCTAAAATTGAGATCGACGAGACTGAAAGTCGAAGCTGTGAGCTGCTACAGTTCACTTCTTCTTCGGCAGATGAAAGCTAATTGCACAGCTCACAATCTGACTAATGTCACTTCTGACACTAAGTCTAACCAGCAAAGCCTGTTTCCAAGATTAACAAATTCTTAGCTGCTGACCCGTTTTCAACCACTGAGGCGACAAAGATGAATGGGCTGCTCATAGGCCCACATGGAGACTGTGTAGCGCATTCGCGCTCTCTCAACATTTTCCACAACAACAATCGGGTGTGGAAAGTGCAAAAATATCTCGTGTAGAGCGAGAGCAGTCGCACACGAAGCTCGTTTGGCTCTCGCTAGATTCGTGTGCCTTGTGCAGCAGCTATTTGATCGCATTCTCAAAGATATTTTGTCATTCTTCGCTCGCACCTCACAAACGATCGACGTCTTGGTTTCAGTCTCGGGGATTATGACTTGAAACAGTTTGAAAATAGATATTATTTAAAGAAATATATATATAAATATACGGTACATATATCTATATATATATGTTCAGCCATAGAGTTCGCATAGAGTTTTTTACGAAATAGTCACAGCATATACATATAGAACGTCGCAAGGATAACGCATTAACGTAAGGATAACCGAGTTCTACTCTCATTTCATCTGTGTAAAGTCAGTGGAAAATATGAAGAAAAAATGTTCATGAAATCTTTTGGTTTCGTAACCACTGAAAATTCCGAAAGAATTTTTCAGTGCGCTAAATATCTAAAAATAATATCCGAACGGTGCTTCGGTCGCGTTCGACGGGTGATTCGGCACACCGCTCGGCACCAGATCGTGGGGTCCGCACCCAATTCAACGAATGGACTGTGAATTCGTGAATACACACAAACCGAAATGTGCATATAGATATGAATATGTGATCTGATAGAAAGATATCCAATATACACACACATAAATAAGATATCAATATATAGATATATATATATTCTGATAAACATACTCAAGTGCATTATCCTGGCTCATCCTGCCCCGGATTACAGGCTGTGAGGGCTACGATAATGCACGAAATTGTGAAAATCAATACCGCATATACTGTGTAATCATGAAAAAAAACTGTGCAGAGTTTTTCGCATTGGAAATGCCAGAAAAAAAGAAAGAGAAATGTTAAAAATAGCCCCTGAAAAATAAGTAGATACCACCGACATAGTGTGTATGGGAGACGTCTCTCTGTATGCGCTGCTTGAGTGTGTTTGTGTGTCGCAGTGAAATGTTCGAGTGGCTAAAAATAGCCAGAAATGCCTCAGCGGAGGCTGAGAATATGAATATGAAGAAGGATGGATGGTGTTGGTGATGCTAATGATGAAGAAATCTTTTTTAATTTTATTTTTATATCGAAATCTATATGCAGCTCGGTCTAAAATACACCAAAATATCAAGATAAAAAAACAAATATGTATATGTGTCAAAACTCAGAAAGAAATTCAAAAAAAAAAATAAATAAAATTAGGAAAATAAAATTTCAACATTTGCCAAATGTCAGTTTTGGTGTGATATATGTTTTAAGTGTAAAATTTTAATTAGCATTTCCTTTTCTATTCTTGCTTTGTATTCAATTTCAGCAATAAAGAAGCGAAAGTATCAGTAAAGAAATATATTACATATATATAAAGTGAAGAAGCAAATCAAAGAGAAAAGTGATCGAGAGGTGTTTTTATTTTAGTGCAGTTGACAACTGCATCGATTTGGTTGTCATTTTCAATGATATATAGTGATATATAACGATTTAAAATGCAACGACAAAATCCGAACCCATACCAGCAGGAGCAGCACCAACAACAGCAGGTGCAGCAGCAGTACTCCACTCAGGAGTACTCGCACTCCACTCAAGAGCAGCATCAGCAGCAAAGGATTAGCCGCACTGAACAACATGTTCAGAGGAGTCAAATCACCACTCAGCAACGAGGTCAGTCCGTCTGCCTGTCTGTGCCCGTTGGCCAAACCACGCCATGCCCCCATCGCTGCGACTTGCCTCGCCTACGGATTTCAGCAAGCTGCTTTGGCCAGTGGGATTCACACCGTGGATTTAGAATCCCCACTGCTCCAAGCTCTTGTTACTGAATTTCCATACGATACAGACAATCGCCTTTTTCTGTTCGTGCCAATTTCATTGTAATCCTCACAACATGCATGCTTTCTCAGTTTCATGTTAGATTCGCCTGCTGATACTGGGGACTTACCTTTAACAATCGAATCTCCTTATGTACACATTTTGCATAGCTTTAACATAATTTTAATGCATGAATTAATTATGTAGAGGGGAGACCGGGAAATGGTTTCACTGCTATCTACTTGACATTTAGCCTACATATATGTTTATCTACACTCCACTCTCTAAAATATATTTAGTGTTCGATAAATTAGACAAGTTGATAGGTCGATGGACTCTGATAAACAGTTTATATTAGCGTAAAATCAAACACCCAATCATCTGAATTTCTTTCCTAATAATTCTCATGACAAATATTTTTTTTGTATGTGTGAAATATGATAGATAGAATGCATTTTCTTAGCTATAAACATTTGAACAAATATATATAAACACAGTGGGTGCAGCGTTTCTACAAATGTTGAAATTATATTTACATTGATAACAACAAAGTGTATGAGATAAGCAAAAAGTAACTCAGGGATATCTCCTATAAAGAGAGATAAACCTATAAGATACATTTTTTATGCAAACACTCTTATATCTTATATCTAAGTTCAATCTAACAACTGAGCTGATCATTCAAATCCGAAGCAAAATCTGATTCACCAAAGAATATAAAATTAAAAAATTAATTGACAAAGAAAAGCATTGGTAATATTCCATGTATTACTCATCATATAGGTGTGTTTCTATATATATATATGTATAACTGCAAGCATACGAATTATTCATTCTCATCTTATATTTCAATACTTATATCTTAATTGATAATCAGCCAAAAATTTGATCTATTTATAAATATTTCCATTCATCTGCCAAAACTGTGAACGCGCGCTGTATTGACATACTTATGCATAAGTAAATATATATATTAGAATAATAGTATAAGAGCTCTTATACAGCTCATCTTGTTTACATTTGACAGTGCTGCATTTCATATGAGATGAAGTGAATAAGATATATGGCACTTGAAAACTCTTATACTGACAGCCGAAGATAGACGAAGTAGAATTGCCGAACTAATTGAGAATGCGCACAAAACAAAGAGAGAGAGAGAGAGAGAGAGAGAAGCGAGAGAGGGAGAGTGAGGGTGAGAGAGATTAATGATATATTAAATGAGAATAGGAGCCGAAGAGAAACAGCTGATCTTTGTTGTTTACATTCACCTGTTTGAATTGGAGAACCAAACTGTTGTACATATTATTGACACACTTTCGTGTAGGTTATAAATGTCAAGGCATATACATATATAAGTTAATATATCCGTACATATATATAGACTTTTAATGCGTGCCAACTTCTAAATATAAGTAATCCAAGCTACAAATATATATCCTCGACTATTCATTTTCAAGTTCTTGTTTACATTTCTAAGGCAGAGATAATACAAAGCATTTCATCTCTCTAAACTTTTGACTAATGCTGACTGAACCTATTATTCAATTCTGAATTATATTTTGAATCTTAATTTTTTAATTTTGTATTTATTTAACTTAACATAATCAATTTTAATAATTATTTTTTAAGTTTTTAAAGTTTAAATATTTAATATTAAAACACATCCGCTAATGCTCGCATCGCTGCTTCTTGTTAGCTGTACCCAACTATAATTGTACCGTTATTAATATTACAGTGCAACAACATCAAGGCGGTATCGGAGGCACCTATGTACCGCCCTCGTTGACACACGTTTATGCCCAAGGTGACATCTCACCGCCTGTATTCGAGCAAATCTTTAAGAACGCTCGCTTCGCTCAGGGTGGCAACGCCCTGTTCGAAGGTCGGCTGCGTGGCAACCCGAAGCCATTCGTTACATGGACCCGAAAAGGCGCACCACTTCTCGAGTCGCAAAAGTTCCGAATGAGCTACAACGAGGCCACCGGTGATGTGTCCCTGCTGATCAACCAGATCGGACCCGGCGACGAGGGCGAGTACACGTGTACGGCTCGTAATCAGTACGGCGAAGCTATCTGCAGTGTCTACATTCAACCGGAAGGCGCCCCAATGCCTGTACTGCAGCCCATCCAGAATCTGGAGAAGAACATCTACTCCAATGGTTATTCGTATACGTCCATTGAGGAGGAATTCCGTGTGGATACGTTTGAGTATAGACTTTTGCGCGAAGTCTCCTTCAGGGAGGCCATTACGCGCCGCTCTAGCTATGAGCAGGACACTCAGCTGTCCCATGAGCTCGACCGCTCTCTTGGCCCTGCGCACGCACCACAAATATCGCAGAAGCCGAGAAGCTCCAAGCTCATCGAGGGCTCTGATGCTGTTTTCACAGCCCGCGTGGGCTCCAATCCGAAACCACGTCTCACCTGGTTCCACAACGGACAACGTTTGGTAGCCTCGCAAAAGTATGAGATCTCTTATTCAAGTGGCGTTGCCACACTGCGCGTGAAGAACGCCAACGCCAAGGACGGCGGCCACTATACCCTCTTGGCTGAGAATCTGCAGGGCTGCGTCGTCTCCTCCGCTGTGCTCGCCGTCGAACCGGCAGCTGAAACTACCTATGAGCCCAAGCCCGTGGATATGATGGCTGAGCAGCTGGAAGTCGGCAAGGCTTTGCCGCCCACTTTTGTTAAGGCCTTCAATGAACGCGAAGTCACCGAGGGACGCATGACGCGTTTCGATTGCCGTGTAACTGGCAATCCCTATCCCGAGGTATTCTGGTTTATCAACGGCCGCCAAGTGCGGGACGACGCTTCGCACAAGATTCTGGTCAACGAGTCTGGCAGCCATTCGCTGATGATCACGAACGTGAGCCGCTTAGATGGCGGCTCTGTTCAATGCTTGGCCCGCAACAAGGCTGGTGAGGTGGCCATCGAGGCGCCGCTGCATGTGCTGGAGAAGGAGCAAGTTGTCGCACCACAATTTGTGCAACGCTTCAGCACGATGACAGTGCGCGAGGGTGAGCCCATCAGCATGAGTGCCAACGCCATTGGCACCCCTGTGCCGCGCATCACCTGGCAAAAGGACGGAGTTCAAATCTCATCAACTGCTGAACGCTTTGTGGGCATCGATGGCGGCGCCACCTGCCTGGAGATACCGCAAGTTAAGGCAACCGATGCTGGCTGGTATCAGTGTACCGCACAAAATATTGCTGGTTCTACAGCGAACCGCGCAAGACTCTATGTCGAAGTTCCCAGAGAGCAACCAAGTCAAGAACAAAGGCGTCTTAATCTTCCAAGACCAACGAAAGTTATCGAGCCTGAGTAAGATCTTTAGAGCTCTTAAGCATTTGGCATTCTGACATCAACTTTTGCTTTTTTTTTCAGGCCAATCCCTGGGCCAGAAATTATTTATTTGCGCCATGTGGAACGCGCCAAACCCCATCTGCGGCCCGGCGAGGAGGATCGTGTTTATCCTCCACCACAGTTCATCATACCACTGCAGAATGTGCAGCAGACTGAAGGTGGTCGAGTTCACATGGAGGCGCGCATCGAACCCGTCGGCGATCCCAGCATGGTCGTTGAATGGTATCTCAATGGTCGTCCACTAGCAGCTAGTAAGTGACCTCGATTCGTATTGCGCTTGCTGTGGGTATAATCTGTTACGTTTTCACAGGTGCACGCGCCACGTCTGTCTTCAAGTTTGGCTTCATTGCTCTGGACTTACTGAGCATCATGGGCCATGATTCTGGAGAATATATGTGCCGCGTTAGCAATGCCAGCGGCGTGGCAGAGTCGCGCGCCATTTTGTCGGTCGTGCAGCGACCTTCCATTGAGCAATCGTCGCAGAATCCGAACAGCTTGCAGTATATCAATCAGCTGGAGGATTACTCCCGCTATCAGCGCCAGGAGAGCTCAGAGGAGTTGATGAATCAAGCTCCACAATTCATACGTCCATTGCGCGATCTTGGTGAATTCGAAGAGGGCAAGAATGTGCACTTCGAGGCACAAGTGACGCCCGTGAATGATCCCAGCATGCGTGTGGAGTGGTACAAGGATGGCTTGCCAATCACCGCCAGCTCGCGTATCACGGCTATATTCAACTTCGGCTATGTCTCCCTAAACATATTGCACCTACGCGCCGAAGATGCCGGCAACTACACCGTCCGTGCCGTTAATCGCATTGGCGAGGCCATCAGCCAGTCCACCATACGCGTGCACTCGCGCTCCCAGGTCACCGCCGATCTGGGCATACCCGAACAGCAGCGTTACATTGAGAAGGTTGAGGAATTGGAAGACTATCGCAAGTCTCAGCAGCGTCGCCATGTCCAGGAGGCGCCTGAGGCCATTGCACCTCCCCAATTCAAGACACCAATCCAGAACCAACTGGATCTGCGTGAGCACGCGCATGCGCACTTCGAGGCGCGCCTGGAACCCATTGGCGATGCTACCATGCGCGTGGAGTGGCTCAAGGATGGGCAACCGCTGGAGGCCAGCTCACGCATCACAACTTATCACAACTTTGGCTACGTCGCGCTGACCATCAAACAGATTACCGTCTACGATGCCGGCACCTACATCTGCCGCGCCTACAATGCCATGGGTCAAGATACAACCACGGCCCAGTTGACGGTCGTATCGAAGAACGAGATCGTCTCGGACACGCAGCATCCGGGTGGTCTGCAAAAGATTCAACATCTGGAGGACTCCTCGCGTTATGGTCGCCGCGAAGAAGAAGAAACGTCCATAACACAGGCACCGCGTTTCCTGGGCCCTCTCAAGGGAACCACCAAGATCTTGGAGGGTCAACGTGCCCACTTTGAAGCCCGTGTCGAGCCACAGAGCGATCTGGGCATGCGCATCGAATGGTATCATAATGGACGCGCCATCACCGCCGCCAATCGCATCCAGATGTACTACGATTTCGGCTACGTTGCCCTGGATATTTCCCAGGTGCGCGCTGAAGATGCTGGCATCTACACTGTGGTGGCTAGAAACAAGCTAGGTGAAGCTCAGTTGCAAGCAACGATGGTAGTGGAAAGTAAGTAGCAAAGCCACAAATTAATTACCCATAGTTTAACCCGATCATCTGCCTTACAGCTCGTTCCAACATCGACACATCTAGCATGCATCGCGGCCTATATGAAAAAACCCAGAACCTGGAGAATAAGCAATTCGTAGAGCCTCAGTATGATATTGAGGAGATCTCCAAGTCAAAGCCCGTCTTTGTGCAGCCTCTGACCGACCCCAAGCCCATACACGATGGCAAGAATATTCATCTGGAGTGCCGTCTGGAACCCATGGGTGATCCTACTATGCGCGTCGAATGGTTCCACAACGGACGCCCCGTAACCGTTGGCTCGCGTTTCCGCACCTATTACGATTTTGGTTTCGTCGCCCTGGACATCATCCAGGCCACGGCAGCGGACTCCGGCGAGTATACTGTGCGCGCCACCAACCATCTGGGCACCGCTCATACCTCTTCTTGTGTGCGTGTGATTGATCGCACCGATGTGGTGACCGAAACCCAGAACGAGCAGTCGCTCGAGCAGATTCAGCTGCTTGAGGATTCGCGTCGTCGTCACCATCAAGAAGAGGATATAACCATTATGCAGGCGCCTCAATTTACACGCGCGCTGCATAACATCGAGACCGTTGAGGGCACCAATGTGCACTTGGAGTGCCGCCTGCAGCCAGTGGGCGATCCCAGCATGCGCATCGAGTGGTTCGTCAATGGCAACCCGGTAAAGACGGGCCATCGTTTCCGTCCCGCCTACGAGTTTGACTATGTGGCGCTGGACTTGCTTGGCTGCTATGCCATTGACTCGGGCGTCTATACGTGCCAAGCCCGTAACCAGCTGGGCGAGGCCGTCACCTCCTGCTCCGTGCGCATCATTGCTAAGAAAGATTTGATTCTGGAAACCCAGAACGAGTCTGGCCTGCAGAAGATTCAATATCTGGAGGACACCTCGCGCTATCGTCGCAATGAGTTTGTGGATGAGGTGGTCAACATTCGCCCTCGCTTCCTAACCCATCCGAAGAGCCTGACCAACACTCGCGAAGGCGCCCACGCCCACTTTGAGTGCAAAATTGAACCAGTCACCGATCCCAATCTGAAGGTGGAATGGTTCAAGAACGGTCGTCCCATCACCGTGGGCCATCGCTTCCGTCCCATTCATGATTTCGGCTACGTGGCCCTAGACATTGTTGGCCTGATTGCTGAGGACTCCGGTGTCTACACCTGCCGCGCCGTCAACTTGATTGGTTCCGATGAGACTCAAGTGGAGCTGCAGTGCCGCAGTGGCGAGCAAATTGTCACCGTCACCCAGAACGAGGCTGGTCTCGAGCAGATTCACTATCTAGAGGATCGTTCGCGCTATAGCCGCCGCGAGGAAGTCGACGAGAGCACCAAGCAGGCGCCAGTGTTCACCACCTCGCTGAAGAACATTGAGATCAAGGAGAATCAACGTGCTCACTTTGAATGCCGTTTGATTCCCGTTTCCGATCCATCGATGCGTGTGGAATGGTACCATAATAATATGCCTCTGAAATCGGGCTCCCGTTTCACCGAGACCAACAACTTTGGCTTCGTTGCCTTGGATATTATGTCCACCCTGCCGGAAGATGCCGGCACCTATACGTGCCGTGCCTTCAATGCAGTGGGTGAGGCCATCACCTCAGCTGTAGCCGTGGTGCACACTAAGAAGTCCATTTATCTGGAGTCTCAGCACGAGACTGCATTGCCGCGACTGCAGCACTTGGAGGATGGCTCCAAACGCCAACGCGTCAGCCTACAGGACGAGTTCGTCTCGCAGGCTCCGGTCTTCACCATGCCCGTGCGCGATGTTCGTGTAGCCGAGAACCAGGCTGTGCACTTTGAGGCACGCCTTATTCCCGTGGGTGATCCAAAACTCACGGTTGAATGGCTGCGCAACGGCCAGCCCATTGAGGCGTCCAATCGCACCACCACCATGCACGATTTTGGCTACGTGGCTCTGAACATGAAGTACGTGAATCCCGAGGATTCCGGCACCTACACCTGCCGTGCAGTCAACGAGTTGGGTCAGGCTGTGACATCAGCCTCGCTGATTGTGCAGTCAAAGACGGCCATTCAGTTGGAGACGCAGCACGAGGCTGCCATGCACAAGATTCATCAGCTGGAGGATCACAGCAAATACCAGCGCCGTGAGGAGGAGGAATATTCCGTTACGACTGCGCCAATGTTTGTCACCAAGCTGATCGGACCCACCAATCTGGTTGAGGGCCAGAGTGCCCATTACGAGTGCCGCATTGAACCTTATCCAGATCCAAACCTGAAGGTTGAGTGGTTCCACAACGGCAAGCCCTTGAGCACCGGCCATCGCTTCCGCACCACCTACGACTTCGGATTTGCCGCGCTCGACATCCTCACCGTCTATGCGGAGGACAGCGGAGAGTATACTTGCCGCGTCACCAACAATCTGGGCGAGGCCGTTAACTCGATTGCACTCAATGTTACTTCCCGTTCGTCGATTATTCATGACACCCAGCATGAGGAGGCGCTGCATAAGATTCAGCATCTGGAGGACGCCTCGCGCTTCCAGCGCAAAGCCGAAGAGGATCAGTTCCACGCTGAGCGTCCGCAGTTCGGACGCCCACTGCGTAATGCCAAGGTCAACGAAGGCACACCTGTGCATCTGGAGGCAACTCTGATCCCAGTTAATGATCCCACAATGAAGGTCGAGTGGTACTGCAATGGCAGACCTATCCAAACGGGTCACCGTTTCAAGACCACCTACGATTTCGGTTTTGTTGCCTTGGACATCCTGTATGCCCACGCCGAGGATACCGGCACCTACATGTGCAAGGCCAAGAATGCTGTTGGGGAAGCTGTCACGACTTGTGCTGTAAACGTAACAGGTAAGCTCGTAGATTCACAATCTGAATCCAACACTAATCGCTTTCGGCTTTTAGCAAACAAGACACTGGATCTGGATACACTCGATGCCCAGCGGCTGGAGAAGATTCGCCAGCTTGAGAGTTATGCGCCACCCACAAAGGCCGAGGTGGAGGAGAAGGGACAGAAACCAATCTTCCTTACCCCACTTAGCAATCTGGAGCATCTGAAGGAGGGTGAGCACGCACACTTGGAGTGTCGCGTTGAGCCCATCAACGATGCCAATCTGAAGATCGAATGGTTCTGCAATGGCAAGCAATTGCCCACTGGACATCGTTATCGCACCACCCATGACTTCGGCTACGTGGCCCTGGACATTTTGTATGTTTATGGCGAAGACACTGGCACCTACATGTGCAAGGCTACCAATCTCCTGGGCGAAGCAGTGAACACCTGCAATGTCCGCGTGCTTAACAGACGCAGCATGATTCTGGATACCCAGCATCCGGATGCCTTGGAGAAGATTCAGAAGTTGGAGTCCAAGGTAGTCACCACCCGCACTGAAGTCGGCGATCATCCAATTGGACCGCCACACTTCACTGCCGAACTGCGTGGCTCTACTGAGATCTACGAGGGACAAACGGCCCACTTTGAGGCGCAGGTGGCGCCAGTGCATGATCCCAACTTGCGCATCGAGTTCTATCATAATGGCAAGCCTCTGCCATCGGCTGCCCGCTTCCACATCACCTTTGACTTCGGCTACGTGTCCCTGGACATTACCCATGCCGTGGCTGAAGATGCTGGCGAATATTCCGTGCGTGCTGTAAACGCTTTGGGTCAAGCCGTCTCTTCAACCAATCTGCGCGTGATTGCCCGCGGCACCATTATTTCGGACACACAGCATCCTGAGGGCCTGGAGAAGATACGCAAATTGGAATCTACGGCACCGCACCAGCGCCAGGAGGTGGAAACACCGGGCACACGCCAGCGACCAGTGTTCACCCAGCCGCTTCAAAATATTGATCGCATCAATGAGCACCAGACAGCTCACTTTGAGGCGCGTCTGATCCCAGTGGGTGATCCCAACTTGAAGGTCGAATGGTACCGCAATGAGAAGTTGATCGAGGACAGTTCCCGCATCACCAAGCAACACGACTTTGGCTTTGTTTCGCTTGATATATCGCACATCCGCAAGGAGGATGAGGGCGTTTACATGTGCCGCGCTGTCAATCCTCTCGGAGAGGCCGTTACCACCGCTTCCATGCGAGTAGTTACTGAGGCCACCATCCAAATGGATACTCAGCATCCGGACAGCATTCGTCGTATACATCAGCTGGAAAAGCCTCTGGCTCCACTTCCCACCGAACCTGAGCGCCTCTTCGAAAAGCCCATCTTTACGCAGCTGCTTACGGGACCCTCCGAGGTATGGGAGGGTGCTCACGCTCACTTTGAGGCACGTGTGGTACCTGTGGGCGATCCCTCACTTAAGTTCGAGTGGTTCGTTAACGGCGTTGAGCTGCAAATGGGCTCACGTCTGCGCACCACACACGACTTTGGCTTTGTCACGCTCGACATCGCCGCTGTGGTGCCTGAAGACGCTGGTGTCTACATGTGTCGTGCTTACAATGCTGCTGGCGAGGCTGTGTCCTCTACGGCCATGAAGGTGAAGACCAGAGCCAATATTGATGGACAGCCCTTGATACCCGAGTCCTGGGAGGCCATTCGTCTGAAGGAGGCCGCTATGAACCGTGTGCCCGAAATGTTTGTGGACTCTACTCCTCAGCAAGCGCCAGTGTTCACTACGCACTTGCAGAGCTACGACAAATTGCACGAGGGTCAACATGTGCATCTGGAGGCTCAGGTGGAGCCACGCGCTGATCCTAATCTGCGCATCGAATGGTTCAAGAATGGCATCTCACTGACCACTGGCTCACGCATACGCAGCACCTTTGACTTTGGACTAGTGACCTTGTCCATCAATGGCTTGCGCGAGGATGACTCCGCTATTTACACCTGCAAGGCAACCAACCAGGTGGGCGAGGCTGTGTCGACTTCATCACTCAAGATCGAAGATCGTCCTTGGCTACATGCGGAGTCCCTGCATCCGGACTCACTGCCACGCATTGGCGAACTGGAGGCACCTAAGGAAGGCCGTAAAGATGCACCTGAGCCCACTTATGAGACTCCTGTGTTTATCACACATCTGAACAACATTGAGTGCAAGGAAACGGACAGCGTGCGCTTTGAGTGCAACGTGGAGCCAGCGCGTGATCCAACCATGAATATTGAATGGTTCTACAATGGACAATTGTTGCAGGCAGCTGCCAAATTCAAGTCTATCTATGACTTTGGCTACTGTGCTCTGGATCTGAACAATTCGTATGCAGAGAACAGCGGCATCTACACTTGCAAGGCCACAAACAGCAAGGGCTCGGCCACTACTTCTGGCACTCTGAAATGCACAGGCGGCAAGACCATGTTCTTCGACACTCAGCATCCACAGGGTGAGAGCGGCCTTGAAGCCGTGCAGGAGACGGAAGAAGCATTGGCCAATCGCTATGCCCAGAAACCAAGCAAACCTGAAACTCAATACCCACCGCCGGTATGGACCAAGCCATTGCAGCAAGAGTTCCATCTAAGTGAGGCGCAGCCCATCCATTTGGAAGCCAACGTGGAACCGAAAGAGGATCCAAATCTGTTCATCGAATGGTATTTCAACGGCAAGCTGCTGCAGCATGGCTCACGCTTCAAGATGACCAGCGAATTCGGATTCGTCACTATGGACATGATTGAGGTGTACTCCAGAGATCAGGGCATCTACACTTGCAAGGCCTACAACAAGGCTGGCGAGGCGTTCACATCCACCACTATTTTCTGCTCAAGCAAGGACAGCATCATTGAATCCACGCAGCATCCCAAGGGTGCCGAGGGTCTGGAGCAAATTCAGGATTTGGAGGATTCTCTACGCAAGGATGGCAGCAAGCCTGAGCAGCCAGAACAGGGCATTGCACCACGCTTCACCACCGAATTCGTTAACATTGTAGACATTGGCGAAGGTGAGTTGGCCCATTACGAAGCCAATCTCATTCCTCTGGGCGATCAGAGCATGGTCATTGAATGGTTCTTCAATGGCAAAGTTCTTGAGGCCAGCCATCGCGTGCGCACCATCTACGCCTTTGGCACCGTCGCTCTGGAAGTGCTGGGCACCAAGATCGAAGACACCGGCACCTACACCTGCCGTGCCACAAACAAATATGGCTCGGCTGAGATCAGCTGCACATTGGAGTGTGTTGAGAAGCCTCGAGGCCAGAAGCCTCACTTCACGTCGCACATTCAGCCGCTGCAGGGCCTGAAGGATGGCCAATCTGCTCACTTTGAGTGCACCTTGATTCCGGTTAACGATCCGGACCTCAAGGTTGAGTGGTACCATAATGGCAAACTGCTCCGTCACTCAAATCGCATCAAGACGGTCTCCGACTTTGGCTATGTGGTCCTGGATATTGCCTACCTGCAGGATCACGACAGTGGCGAGTACGTTTGCCGCGCCTACAACAAGTATGGCGAGGACTTCACTCGCACCACTCTGAACTGTGGTGGACGCGGTGGCGTATTCTATGACAGCTTGCAGCCTGATTCTCTACAGAGGATTCGGGAGCTGGAATGCCCGCAAGGACAGCAAGCGGATACCGGCGCTCCAGTGGTTGCCGAACCACCCAAATTTATCACACAAATCAGCGATGTTACCAAGTTGGTGGAAGGCCAGAGCGCTCACTTTGAGGCCCGCCTGACGCCCATTACCGATCCCGACTTGGTGGTCGAATGGTATTTCAATGGCAAGAAGCTGCCACATGGCCATCGCTTCCGCACTTTCCACGACTTTGGCATTGTCATCTTGGATATCCTGTATTGTTATGAGGAGAACTCTGGTGTCTATGAGTGCCGCGCTTACAATAAATATGGCGAGGACGTCACCCGTGCCACGCTAAAGTGCGCATCCAAGGCCAGTCTGATCTTGGACTCCCAGCTGCCACGTGGCATGGAAGGTGGCCTGGAGAAGATTGCCAATCTGGAGTACAGCATGGTACGCACCCGCGAGGAGACCACCGAGGAAACCAGAGGAAAGGCACCTGTGTTTACTGTGCCGCTGGAGAACATAGACAACCTGCGCGAGGGCGAGAATGCTCACTTTGAGGCTCGCATTACGCCTGCTGACGATCCCAAGCTGAAGGTAGAGTGGTACTGGAACGGCCGTCCACTGAAGGCTGGCTCTCGGTTCCGCACTTTCTGCGATTTCGGCTTTGTTATTCTTGAGATTTCGCCTGTCTATCCCGAGGATTCTGGTGAATACTCGTGCCGTGCCATCAATGAGTATGGAGAGGCTGTGACCACCGCAACAATGAAGATCCAGGGCAAGCGTAGCATTATTATGGAATCACAGCTGCCCAAGGGCATGGAAGGAACCATCGATCGCATTGCTGAATTGGAAGGCCTGGGCTCTCGTAGCACAGAGTTTGTGCCCGAAGACGATACCGGCAAGCCACCTGAGTTTATTACAACGCCGTTCGACATGGTCATCGGAGAGAACTCGCTGGCCCACTTCGAATGCCGTCTGCAGCCCATTAACGATCCGTCCATGCGCGTGGATTGGTTCCACAACGGCAAGGCCTTGTGGGCCGGCTCCCGCATCAAGACCATCAATGACTTTGGCTTTGTCATCCTGGAGATTGCCGGCTGCTATCAGCGCGATACGGGTCTGTATACCTGCAAGGCGACCAACAAGCACGGCGAGGCCACCGTGTCCTGCAAATTGCAGGTCAAGGGTCGCCAGGGCATTGTCATGGAGCCGCAGCTGCCCTCGAACTTCCGCACTGGCACTGAGAGCTTGCAAAAGCTGGAAGAGAGCATGCACAAGCGGGAGGAGATTGTCATCGACGAGGAGCAACCAAATCCACCCAAATTCATTGAGGACATCAAGGATAACTTGGACGTACCCGAAGGTGGACCAATTCACTTCGACTGCCGCGTCGAGCCCGTCGGTGATCCAACAATGCGCATTGAATGGTACTACAATGGACGTGTCATGGCCACTGGATCCAGAGTGCATCAACTGAACGACTTTGGCTTCATTGCTTTGGATATTGACTACATCTATGCTAGGGACTCTGGCGAATATACTTGCCGAGCCACTAACAAGTGGGGCAGTGCTACCACCACTGCCAAGGTCACCTGCAAGGGCAAGCACAGCATTGTCTACGACTCACAGCTGCCTGAGGGCATGACCGCCGAAAAGTTGAAGGAACTGGAACGTGGACGCATACCAGAGGCGCCCAAGGTTGTCGAAGAGCAGTTTGGACCACCGAAATTCATCACACAAATCGCGTCCTGCACAGCCGAGGAGTCTGAAGCTGTGAGATTCGAATGTCAAGTGGAGCCAAAGACCGATCCCAATCTGCGTGTCGAGTGGTATCGCAATGGCAAGCCTCTGCCCTTGGGTCATCGCTATAGAAACGTCTTCGACATGGGCTTCGTCTCGCTGGACATTTTGTATGTGTACAGTGACGACTCTGGTGAATACGTTTGCCGTGCTGTCAACAAATACGGCGAAGATCGAACCAAGGCCACCGTCTCGTGCAAGAGTAAGTCATACAACATACGAGTCATATCTATTCTTTCTAATCTGTGTCGATTTTCCTTAGAATTGCCGACGATTTTGCTGCAAAATCAGGTGCCACGTGGCATGAAGCGCTCGGAAACGCTCACCCAAATGGAGGCCACCATCAAGAAATACACCTCCGAGGTACACTTAACCGAGGATGATCTATTCGACCCCGATCGCAAGCAGCCCCCACGGTTTGTTACGCAGATCAAGGAGCAGCTCACATTGACGGAAATGGCTAAAACCAAGTTTGAGTGCCAGTTGGCGCCTGTGGGCGATCCGAACATGAAGGTTGAATGGTTCTTCAATGGCAAACCCTTGCTCTACAGTAAGTGTCCACGGTCTTTACATACAACTCTTACGTACAGCTGTTATTTGTATCCTTGCAGAGAATCGCTTCCAGCCCATTTACGATTTTGGCTATGTGGCCATGAACTTTGGCTGGGTTTATCCCGAGGACAGCGGTGAATATGTTTGCCGTGCTACAAACTTGTATGGTATGGACGAGACCCGTGCTATAATAAAGGTATCTGGTAAGCCAGGCATCGTCTACGACTCCCAGCTGCCTGCCCATATGCAGAGCATTGATCGCATTCGCGAAATGGAAGCTTCCTGGCAAGTGTAAGTTCTCTGCAGTATAAGCTAAAAGAAGTCATTGGATACATTCGTCATCTACTCCCGCAGTGTACCAGAAGAGGTTGATCCTGATGCCAAGCCCAGAACGAAGCCTGTTTTCGTTAGCAAGCTGGAACCACAGACGGTTGAGGAAGGCGATCCAGCCAGGTTCTGCGTGCGTGTCACAGGATATCCACGTCCTCGTGTCATGTGGCTAATCAACGGTCACACTGTTGTTCACGTATGTTTTCTCTAGCATATTTATTAGGGTCAGAGGCTAATTTTCCAATATGCAGGGCTCTCGCTACAAGCTGACCAACGATGGCATGTTCCATCTTGATATACCCAAGACGCGTCAATATGATACAGGCAAGGTGGAGGTAATAGCGCGCAATTCTGTGGGCGAATCACTTGCTTCGACCGAACTGAATGTTGTCGCACGCTCCGATGACTATCGCAATGTGCTCAAGAACTCACCACGCCGTAAGTCACACCCACACACACGCCCATACACACTTGTTACAAACACATATTGTTATACAAGCAGATATATCTAAACAGCTATATGAAATTAACACAAATTTTAAAGTGCAGTAGACCTTAGCTGGCAAAACTAAAAAAAACACAGAGATATCACATTAAATATCGCATTGTAAATATACATATACATATTATATATATCTATACATATATAGTTCACACATAGTATGCCTTTTTATCAGTAGAAGTAGCTACCAAGTTAATTGCGTTTCAAAGCACATGCCACAATACAATAGTAGTACTACTGTATAGGTCAGACAATTGAAAACCACAAAATCCCTACCACAATACACCCAGCTCCCTATGCAAAAACTGCTCTCCTTGAACTATCCCATAAGAGCCTCTTATTATCCACTCAACGAGCCGGCAGAGGACCGACCCAGCGGAAACTGCGCTTTTATGGATTTCATCAATGAATATCGCCGGATCATGGGTATTTTGGTTGTGCAAGTTTTTAGTGTGCGTGTTTTAAAGACTGTCTATTCTAAACTGTGGCTGATCATATTCAACTTTTGTCTGTCAAGCGATTGAAATTTAAACTTAAAGGAGTTAGCAAACCTCTGTGAACATCATCAAAAAAATAATGTACCATCCATGTGTCATATTTTCTTTTTACTTATTTAAATCATGTACTAACACTGAAGCTATACGAATGCAGTTTTACTTAACCAACCGGCATGCTAATAGTTGAATTTTTCTTGTGGATAGCTGAACGTATTCAGGCCTTCTAGAAAGTGTTTAAATTCGCCAATTTGTTTTGAATATAGCGTGGTACGATTACGAACTAGCAGCCTATCAGAAGGAGCGTCAGGAGAACGAGTTGGAAAAGGTATTCGATGAACGTAAGCAATATTTGTCCGAACAGAGTGCGCACACCCTGAAGGGCGTTGAGCACCTGAAGCCCAAACAGTACAAGCCCCAAACACCCGACTGGCAGCAGAACGTCAAGGCCAAGAAGAGCGAGGAGTACTACAACAAGCTGCAGGAGCTGGAAACCGAGCAACTGCTCAAGGAGACCACGCTGCGCAGAGACAACCATCAATATGCCATTCCCGGTGAGAAGGTTGTGAGCAGCTCAGCTGCCAAGGGCATGGCACAGTCTTACGAGGAGAATCTGTAAGTAGAAATTAAATACAATCCTAAGTCATGACGTAACTCCAACATTTCCAACAGTCAAGAGCAAACGAGCACCACCCAAATCAAGGCCGCACCACCAAAGGGTACAGCGCAGCCCTCCGAGTCGTCGGTGCATGGACGCGAGGTGCACATGAACAAACAGCAACAAGTGCAGAAGGAGATCCAAGGTGACTTGGAGATTACACGTAAGATCACTGCCACCGAAACTACCGAAGTGGAGCACAAGGGCACCATTCAAGAGCGCGTTGTAAAGGGCCCCGTCAAGCCCTCTAAGGCACCTGTCTTCACCAAAAAGATTCAGCCATGCCGCGTCTTTGAGAATGAGCAGGCCAAATTCGAGGTGGAGTTCGAGGGCGAGCCAATGCCAACGGTGAAATGGTTCCGTGAAAACTTCCCCATCCAGAACTCACCTGACCTCCAGATCCACACGTTTAGCGGCAAATCCATATTGATCATACGCCAGGTCTTCATTGAGGACTCAGCTGTATTTACCTGTGTGGCAGAGAATCGTGGCGGAACTGCCAAGTGCAGTGCCAATTTGGTTGTGGAGGAGCGAAGACGCGCCGGCAAGGGCGGCATACAACCACCAAGCTTTGTGTCCACCATCCAGAGCACCACCGTGTCCACTGGCCAGCTGGCACGCTTCGATGCCAAGGTAACCGGCACACGCCCCATGGATGTTTATTGGCTGAAGAACGGCATGAAGGTTCAGCCCAGCATCAAGTTCAAGATGCTGGAAGAGGACAACATTCACACCTTGCTGATCATTGAACCATTCGCTGAGGACTCTGGCCGCTATGAGTGCGTGGCTGTCAACGCCGCTGGCGAGGCACGTTGCGATGGCGATTGCATTGTTCAATCTCCCACCAAGCCGGAGAAGCCAACAACGCCCGGTAGCGAGAAGGCGCCACACATTGTGGAGCAGCTGAAGAGCCAGTCCGTTGAGGAGGGCAGAAAAGTGATCTTCCGTTGCCGTGTGGACGGCAAGCCCACGCCCACAGCACGCTGGATGCGTGGCGAGAACTTTGTGAAGCCATCTCGCTACTTCCAAATGACGCGTCAAGGCGAATACTATCAGCTGATCATCTCGGAGGCATTCCCCGAGGATGAGGGCACCTACAAGTGCGTCGCCGAGAACAAGCTAGGCAGCATTCAGACCAGTGCACAGCTCAAAGTGCGTCCAATCGAGAATCTCGATGCTCCACCAACCATCACAGCGCTCAAAGACGTCTCTGTCACCGAGGGCATGCCAGCTCAGTTCAAAACCACTGTCACCGGCAAAGTAAAAGCAACCAGTGTGCAGTGGTTCCGCGAGGGACAGCTGATACCGGAAACACCTGATTTCCAGGTAGGTTGTATACAAATTAGAGCAGATTAATCAGATAATCCCCTGAACTATTGAGAAGCTCTGACTGAATGCAATCTCGATATCGTTTCAGATGATCTTTGATGGCAACAGTGCCGTGCTTTTGATTGGCACCACCTACGAGGAGGATTCGGGCATCTTTACTGTGCGCGTGACATCGTCAACTGGACAGGTCGAGTCATCAGCCAAACTGACTGTTAAAAGTAAGGATTAAACTAAAAACTAAGCAAAACCAAAACCAGAGTTCGTAAACAACAAGAAAACAAAACGTAAGCGAACAGTGTTCGAAAAGTCCAAAGAATGCTCAAAAAAGAAAAACAAACACACACACACAACGACCAAAAACTTAAAAAAAAACTATACGTATATTTTTTTTACTTAACGGATCCTTCTACTGACAACGTTACAGCCCAACTAACTGAGTACGGTCAATAACTAGTCCAAGAGTTTGAGTGAAGAATATTTATCTTAAAACGAATATTTCGACAGATTCAAGTTTTATTTTTTCTTCTTCTTATTTGAAATCTGATTTTTTCATTGAATACAACGAACGAGTTCTTTTAATTACTAACCCAATTTCAATATCAATATGTGAACCCAAGCAACAATTAAATGAAAGATGTTTAACACGAAAAGGTAACAAAAAACAACAAAAAAAATCAAAGTTTATTTAAAAGAAATTAATATTAATAATAAAAACAATTACAAGTATTTTGCAATATAAATATTTATAGAACATTTTCTTTTTGGCATAGCCAATCAAGAGGGAATTGCTTGTCGGTTGTATATAAAATTGAAAAGTCTTGAAATTTGAGTGAAAGTGAAGTGAAAACAGAAATATATATAAATATAGATATACAAATATATATATGTAAATCACTCAACACTTGCCCCTTTGAGTGAGAATTATAAATAAGACAGCTTATGTACTTTCATATTGCTCAGAGAATACCCATACATACTCAAGTTTCTTTGTATATACCTACATATATACGGCTCAGGCACTTTATAAATATGTTGAGTTCTTCTGTATTTAGGCTGCATATAGGCGGAGCTATGTGTATAGTAAACATATAGAAACATGTGTCGGAATAGTTTTGGGGCCGTGTGCAAAACGCACATTTGTCCCGCCTCCGCTCGAGCATGAAAGTTTTATTTTTCGTTTGAATATTAGCATTAAATATTGTGGATGACACATCTAGCGCACATACGGCTCGCAGCTTTTGCTGTATCCATGTCCATACTGCCACCAAATACTTGAATATGAAAATCTACAAATGAACGTGCGCAAAACTAGCACAGCCCAAGGGGGGATACGTTGATAATAAGTAAAAAGAAAAGAAAACCGCCGAAATATTGAAAGGCATTGCAGACATTGAATTTGTTCAGCTGCCAGCAGGCAGATTATCTATATGCTCTACTATACTATATGCATCTATATACATATATATTTATATATGTGCTGGCTGTCTATTCTATTTTCAATTTCATTTTTGGAAAATGTTTCTGCTTTGAAAACTAATTTCCAATAGATTAGCTAGAACAAACAAGAAAATAAGCGCAACAACAATTAAAAAGTAGAAACCATTTGATATTTTTAGACAGCAGCGCAGACTGGATATTTTGTTTGCAGCTACAATGAAAAACATTTTATGTATTTTTCAAGTAAATCGTGAAATTTATTTCAATTTTCTTTCATTTAAAAATTAGAAAAAAAAATAAATGAAAAGCGAAAATATTATATTGGCTTTCAATGTATGAGCGCAGATGAAAATAAACTGACATTTAGTTCAGGCGAAAATAAAATAATTAATTACCTACGAGTTGTTTTTTGTTTTGTTGTACCATGTAGACAAGATATGAGTAGCCGATTTGCCCAAGAGATCTACTCGAACACACACACACACACACCAACACGTATACGTGATTTGTATTTGGCTATGTGTGTTAGTCATTAGACAAGCCAACATGAATAAATGATTCTGTTTATGGTGCAGAAATGGATTTTAATTAAATTAATCAGTTACGGTAGTTTACTCATCCAATCGTCCTCTGGCGCTGATTCAGATGCCTTTGCCTTTATTTATAGACGCCAGCCCACAATTTTTGTATCCAACCGACTATTTAGATCAGCAATCCCTCTGAAATTAAGAAATGCATATTAGTATTGAACGTTAGATATTGGAACGATACTTTTAAGTATTGTGATCAAACTTTGACCATGTACTCGTACTCGTACGTGACCCAGACAGACACAGAGACCTATATGATATATGATTGGTCAGACGGACCTCGAAACGTATTATGATTATTTGACGTTTGATTATAATCAATTTGTATTGTTTATTTAATTTACGTTTATTTATTTTGTAGTGATGTTGCATGAGATTTTATTATTCATTTTTTATTGCTGCTTTTTACTACTAATTCGTTTCGTTCTCATTTCGTCCACTTTCCACAAAAAACACACAAAAGAATCAAATTGCGAAACTTTCAAATTATTTTATTTGCGTGTCAAATTTCAAGTATACGCCGCTTTTGCCGCCAATAAGTTTATTTTTCGTAAATCTTGTGGTAAAAAATGCTTTACTAAAAAATTAATCATAAAAACTCATGCGACGTTTGTTTTAAGTTTTATCTACAATACATTTGAGATACTCGTATTCCTCTGTCAATTAAATAATTTATGTTTATGTTTACGTTTCGTGTTTTAAGTGTTTATCGATCGAGCGAACGATCAAACGATAGCGCGATCAATAATCAAATATCCAATTCGATCATTCAATTCAATAATTATCTTCTGTTCTTCCATATCACTCTTGTTGTTTAATTGTATTTCTCATGTATTTAATGCTTAAAACCAATATCGCGTCTTTCAAATAAAAAACAAAGCAAATGCATCATCAACTGATACTCGTTTTTGATAACTTCCAAACTGCTCCATGCTTGCGCATCCTTTGCCGCTGCTTGCTCGCGCCGATATAGGTAATGTATTTATATATATATATATCAATATAGTATGTTTTATGTTAACGATTTAAAACACTTGATCGAGGATTGCACTTTCTAAATGAACCACACATTTGCCCCGTGTGGCAATTGGCTACCTTCTGCGCTCGATTGTTGTCTACATCCGAATGAGATCGGTCGAATGCGCCGCGGTGCGCTGACTGCGCTGCGCTGACTGCGATGCTTACCCCAAAAATACCCCGTATCGATACAGAGGCACAGAGAACCGCCTAAGAATCTGGCCGAGCTGTTTACCCCACCTGGTGACGTAGCAGCCACTAATCATAAATCTATTTCGGGCAGCTATTGTAAACACAAGCGTTTTAATTGTGTTTGCTCTCAAACTCAATTGCTCTCGCTGAGCCTGATCATTATTTTGGGCCCATACTTCATTTTGATGATCAAGCAGCCGTACTTAGCTGATGATAAATACATTCATTGAATATGTGCCAAAAAAGTAGCTATAGGTTAATGCAAGAAACACAGGTGAGATTCGTCACAGACGAGTAGTGAATCATGCGACAGATTCGTATCTTTTTCCTTTATCAATGTCAAACATTGAGTTGAGATGTGCGTGGCATATTATTTAAGTACCTAATTATTGATTCACGGCCAACATAGAAGACCTCTCTGATGCGAGTGCCCAATAAGATTTGCGATTTGTGGCTGTCGTGCCCCTTCTTTGGCATCCACATATACCTTTACATCCAAGCAGAAATATGCGTTCTGCCACGGTATTTGAATTTTCATTTTGCACACTACATTAATATTTTCAAGTTCATTGTCCATACATATATCTTTATATATACACATATGTGTGCAAGGTATTTTGATTTATTTTTAATATTGAGTATGAGCCATATGAGCCATGAGGTATATATATCAGAGGTATGTATCAAGTTGCCACACCCTTTGCTTAATAACATTTTCAAGGTAAGCGACTCAACCGAAATGCTACGTCGAACACTGTTGTGAACTCTGGAAAATGTCAGGCGATTCTCGATCCCCCATATACTATACTAACACCTTGACTTCCCCTTTGAACTTCTAGAACGACGTATCTCGGCTTATCAATTGCGTACGATTGATTCTGTCGAAGATGAGTCTTCGTCCTCTGGCAGGGAAGATAGTTCTCCTGAATCGCCCAATCAGTTCCAGCAGCAACAGCAGCAGCCGGGCACTTATGGTCAATATTTGGGCGTTAATGGGCAGGTACAGCATCAGGGTCGCTCGCGCACTAAGAAGACAAAAGTACGCAGCAAGTCCTTGCAGCCGCCTACTAATGTTGTACCTTGGCGCAAGTCCTCGCGTCCACACCGTGGACGCTCACTAGACAAGCAGCCATTCCTGCCGGGTTTCAAGCCAGAGCCAGTTAAGTCTTGGACCGAAGAAACAATTAGTTTAAAGGCCACGCCCATTGAGAAAAAGAAACCGACACCTAAGCTAGAAGCCGCTCAAGTTGTCCTCAAGTCCATCAAGACTGAAAGAGATCAGGGCATCATGAGTCTGGGAGCTACTTTGGAGCAAATTATTGCTGGCAAGACTGAAAAGGAGGCCGTGCCTTGGATAACAATGCGTGAGAAGCTTAAGCAGGTGGAAAGTGTGCAGCAACAGTTGAGCAAATTCGACCTTGATGAGGTCTACTTGCGACCGTTGGAAGGTCAAATCGAAACTGACCAGCAACTGCCACAGCAAGCCCAGGTAGAGCAAGTGCAGCGCACCAAGGAAATACAGCGCCTTAAGAGCATGGAAAGCGTGGAAATCATGGAAATGACTGACCAGATTGATAAGCTCATTACACAGCAGCAGAATAACAAGGATCTCATTCCATGGAAGGAGATGCGGCAGCAACTGAAAAGCGTGCAGCGGGTAACCAAGCAAATGGACAAGTTTAAGATTGAGGAGGTTGAGCTGCGTCATCTGCAGGCCCAACAGAGTATCGCCGAAGAATTCCAGAGTGCTACCCAAGATACAGTTGTCATGACTATCGACGATAGCTCTAAGAGCTCAATTTCTAAGATCATGACACGCGATGAGATTCAGCATTACGAAGATCAATCCAATATCTACAAGCAACAGTTCATAACCACTGAAGATGTTAACATAATGCATGTTTCAGAGCGCGAGAAGCTCGAGGCCCAAAGGCTGCTCAGAGAACAACAAGCTGTCAACTGGAGGCAGCAGCAACAGCGTCCTCAACTGCAGCCACTAACCTCAGTGGAGGACACAATCTCACAGACCAGCGAACGACATAAGATTGTACAGCAGCAAAGCCTTATCGAGGAGGGACAACGTCAACAGTTTGTGCAAGTCGAGGACTCTCAGATGATGAGCATTGAGCAATACGAACACCAAAAGATGATCAACCAGCGCACTCAAGGGGAATCCTTCAACTGGCGCCAACCACGTGAGCCACAGAAGTTTATTCAGGTCGAGGACTCATCTCTGCTACACCTGCAAGAGCGACAAGATACACAGGAGCAGAAGTTTATACAGCCGCAGCCCGTTATGTGGGAGCGTGGTATGAAAAAGCCGGAGCCTGTGCAGCCCCAAGCTCCTGTTCCACAACAAGAACAACAGTATGTGGAGAAACCAAAGACGTACGAGGAAATGCACGATGAGTTAATTGAACCTGTTCCAGTCCAGCAGCCGGAACCAGTGCCAGTTATGTGGGAGCGTGGCAAGAAGAAGCCTATTCAACCACAAGAAAAGACATATGAAGAACTACACGACGTGCTGGATGAACCGATTCCAATTCAACAACCGGAACCTGTTCCTGTCATGTGGGAGCGCGGTAAGAAGAAACCAGTTGCTCAAGAAGTCACTGATACTCAACAAATTGTGCAGACATCGAAAGTGGTCGAGCAACAAATTGTCGAGGAGACAAAGAAAACGGCAGTGCGTCGGGTAATACCCCCTCGAGAGCCAGAACAGAAAGTGGAACAAGTGACTCTTAAGCCAACACCACGGCCGGCACCTAAACAAGTCCAAAAGGCCGAAGAATTCCAATTGAAACCACTCAAGACAACGCGAACCATTCAGCAAACTGTTCAAGAGTCGGTTCAAGCCACCGAAGAAGTTCAACAGATTACTGAGGTGACAGAGGCTCCCAAGACACTTGAAATTGTCACGGATACTTTGGAAGAAGAAACCGTCAAGCCAGTTGAGCCTCAACCGCAGCCTGTAATGTGGGAGCGTGGCAAGAAGAAGCCTCAACAACCTGCAACTCAAGAGATTCCCCAGTCTCATGAAGTCGCTGTTGATACTCTGGAGGAAGAGACAGTTCCAACTGTTGAGCCAGAGCCACAGCCAGTGATGTGGGAACGTGGCAAGAAGAAGCCTCAACAGCCTAAGGCTCAAGAAATTCCCAAGTCACAGGAAGTCGCTGTTGATACTCTGGAGGAAGAAACAGTTCCAACTGTTGAGCCAGAGCCACAGCCAGTGATGTGGGAACGTGGCAAGAAGAAGCCTCAACAGCCTAAGGCTCAAGAAATTCCCAAGTCACAGGAAGTCGCTGTTGATACTCTGGAAGAAGAAACAGTTCCAACTGTTGAGCCAGAGCCACAGCCAGTGATGTGGGAGCGTGGTAAGAAAAAGAAGCCAGTTAAAAAAGAATTGGTGGAAGAGACCGTTCCCGAAGTACCAACAAAAACATTTGAAGAAGCAGTCGATACTCTGCCTGATGAAGTTAAGGTTGAGGATAAGCCAGAACCTGTTTTATGGCAACGAGGTAAGAAGAAGACACCACAACCTAAGCCAGCTGAAGAGCAGCATCCTGATGAAGTCGACGCGTACATTGAACAAGTCATCGACGTTGAGGAGGAACAAATTGTTGAAGAGAAGCGTAAAATCAAAAAGGTTAAGAAGCCTAAGCTTCCGCAAGAGCCAGTTGAACAGCCTGAAGAGGAGGTCCCACATGAAGAGACTATTGAAGAACAGGAAGATATCGTTGAAGAAGAGGAAGCAATAGTAGAAGAAAAGCGTAAAATAAAGAAGGTCAAGAAGCCAAAGAAATCTGTAGAAGTGGCTGAAGAGCCAGAAGAGCCTACGGAAGACATTCCAGAAGAGGAAGTTGTCCAGGAGCAGGAAGAATTGGTTGAAAAGAAACGTAGAGTTAAAAAGACAAGAAAGCCCAAGCAAACAGAAGCGGAGCAAGAAGAAGAGGAAGAAGAAGAACAGGTTCCCGAGACGCAACCCGAAGAGGTTCAAGAAATCGAAGAGCCTTCAGTTAAAGAACCGACTAAAAAGAAGGTTATTCCTAAAGTCCAAGAAGTGGAGCAGGTGGAAAAGGTTATGTTGAAGCCTGTGCCGAGAAAGCAACAGCAACTGCCTGAAAAAGAACAAATTGAAGAAGTAACTCTGAAGCCACGTGCAAAAACGTCAGTTGTCTCCGAGACGCAACAACCCGAAACAACTGAAACTGAGTTTGTCGAGACAGAAAAGGTTGTTACGTTCGAAGACCAGGTGGTAGATGTTACTAAGAAACGCGTTAAGAAGAAGAAGCCGAAGGCAAAGCCAGAAAGTCAAGAATCAATCGAAGAGCCAGTTGAAGAACCTGTTGAAGACATCGAGGAGCCAGAAGATGAAACTCTACCGGAAGAAATTGACGAGCCTGTGGAAAATATGGCAGAGGAACAAGTTATTGAAGAAGCTCCAAAGGAGAAGGTTACGCGATTCAAGCCCAAAAAGGAAGAAGTTGTTGAAATGGTTGAAGAAGTAGCTTTGAAACCAGTAACCAGACCAAAGAAACAATTACCTCAGGAAGCTACAATTGAAGAGGTACGCCTCAAGCCGACAAAGCGCACAACTGCCAAGCCTGAGGAAGTCAAGCTCGAAGAAGTCGATTTGCAACATGTTGAAAAGGTAGAAGAGAAAGTCATTCAAGAGGAGAAGCGAAAGGTTAAGAAGGTAAAGAAGCCAAAGCATGAAGAACTCCCCGAAATCCCAGATGCAGAGCCTACCATCTTGGAAGAGGCTGAGCTAATCGACATTGAGAAAGAGCCTAAGCCTGAAGAAGAGAAACCACAAATACCTTGGAAACGTGGCGAGAAGAAGAAGCCAGTGGCAGAACCCTTAGAGGAAAAACAATGGCCAACTGGCAAACGACGACCTCTGCCTGAAGAACAACCTGAAGAGGTACAGCTCAAGCCAATTCCAGCCAAACCTGTTGAAGTACCTGCAGTGCCTGAGAAGACAGTTTCCCCACCTGAGCTACAGCCTGAAGAAAAGGTTGAAAGCGAGGAAGAGATTTCTGATTTGGAGCCTCTGAAACTACCAGAAGAGAAACAACCCAAAGAAAAGGTCAAAAAGGAAAAGAAAAAGAAACCAAAGTTGAAGAAGGCGACACCATCAGTGGATGAGGTATCCGAAGAAGTGGCCGAGCCATTTGCAGAGCCAATTGCTGAAGAAGATCAAGTTGAAGAACTGCCAGTTGATGATGTAAAAGTGGTTGCTGTTTCTGAAGACGTGCAGCCGGAGGAAGAAGTTGTGATAACTGAGAAAACACCCGAAACAAAACAAAAGGCACACAAGAAACGTACAAAAGCACTCAAAGAAGTTTCGGTTGAGGGACAGCCGCAACTTTTGGAAGCAGCTGTTGCCGAAATCGAAAAGGCTGATGAAATTTCTCAAGAGATCTCACAAAAGACTATAACACTACTGAAGAAGACTGAAGATACAAGACCTCAATTCATAACAACAGAACAGCTTATTGAACTCGACGTGGAGGATGTAAGACGCGATCTCGAAATGAAAATCACTTCAAATATTATTAAGAAGGAGAAACGGCGTGTTGTGCTCGATGACAGCCAGCCTCTGCCCGAATTGGAGCTAATAACACAGAAACGTATTCAAGAGGGCATCGACAAAATGGCCGATGAGGAGTTGATCGAGGATCAGCAACTGACTCAGAACCTAGAGGAAACAACTACGTCTGAGGTAATTGGCCAGGAACGCAAGCTAGTCAAAAAGAAGAAGAAGGAAATCAAGCCACCGCGCATCACAGAGAAGCTGCGACCACGTCAATGTGTTCCCGAAGAGCCCACCGTCCTCGAATGCAAGGTTGAAGGCGTACCATTCCCAGAAATCAATTGGTACTTTAACGACATGCTATTGTTTGCATCGGAGAAGTATGAAATCACCGTCGTGGAGCAGGTGGCACAGCTAAAGATTGCCAAGGTCACACCCAGCGATGTGGGCGTTTACACCTGTGAGGCGAAGAACGAGGCCGGAGTGGCAACAAGTCGTACCAACATAATATTAGGTAAGTTCAGTAAATATTTTAAATTGTTCCATCAAATTTTGTTCCTGTCTGTGTGAGTCACTCGAAAGCTTTCAACAAAGTTGATTGGTGTCTTATTATCTATTTTAACATCTTGGAAAAACCACTTAACAAACAACTTCCATGATATTTTTCCATTTCTATGCCCAAAACACAACAACAACATCAACAACACACTTTAAAATACTTTTTATTCACAATGAATACAGAAAAAGAACAAGGAGTCGCACCACAGTTTACGAAACCTCTTAAGATCGTGTTTACAGAGGAAAAGCAGCCCGAGCGGCTTAAGGTAACCGTCACGTGTCAGGTGACAGGCAAACCCAATCCTCAAGTTAAGTGGTATCGTGGTATTGAGGAAGTGGTACCCAACGAAGCTCTGCAGATGTTCTACAATCAGGAGACTGGCGATGTTGTCTTGGAGGTGCTAAATCCACCTGCCAATGAAGCCATTACCTATTCGGTTCAGGCACAAAATCAATTCGGACGCGCCATTGGCAATGCCAATATTATGAGTCGTCTGGATGAAACTCCCAAAGAGATTCTCAAACCACCTACAGTTACGCCCTTGAGTGCGGTTGTGGTTCCCAATGGAGGCACCCTGCTCTTCGAGGCCAAATACGACGGTATGCCAAGACCCGAGATCAAATGGTTGCGCAATGGTCGTGAGATTATCGAGAACGAGGAAACCATTATAGAAACAACCGAAACAACGACAACAATCAAGGTTATCAATATGACTCGTAAGCGAACAGGAAAGTACGAGGTTTGTGCCAAGAATAAGGTGGGCGAGGCCAAGTCTTCGGGCTCTGTAGTTGTTTCTGATCAAGCACCAGACAAGCAAATAAGACCACCCAAATTTATTCAACCACTTGAGCCGAAGTTCTTTGGCGAACACGAAGTTGCGATACTTGAGGTTGTTGTCGATTCAGAGCCGCTTTCATCCTTCCAATGGTTTGTTCATAATGAACCCATTAAGAGTTCCAATGAATGCCGTATTGTTAGCCAGGCCAACAAGTCAACGCTCTTGATTGAGGACTTCCAAAATAAGTTCTCTGGACCGTTCACTTGTCGCGCTGAGAACGTTGGCGGCTCAGTCACATCAACAGCAACAGTTAATATGCTGGAGGCTTTGCCCCAAGAAGAGGCTGTGGAATTCGAATCGCCACGTTTCATTGAGGAATTGATTCAGCCCGTAGAGGTTATGGATGGTGAAACGCTGCTATTGACTTGTAAAGTGACGGGCAAGCCCACACCTAAAGTAGAATGGTACCACAATAAAGAAAAGATAACAGAAACAAAGGAAACCACACTCTCGCAGGATGCGCAAGGAAACTGTCAGCTCCAAATAACGGAAGTTTTCCCTGAAAATCAGGGCCAATATAAATGCGTTGCGACAAATAAGATTGGCAAAAGCGTCACGAAGACAACAGTTAATATTCAAGGTACTTTTGGATGGAATCAATTGATAGTTGATTGTTAACAATAGATACTTAGGAAATGTAGCATACACCATATGCATCGCATTCTACATAGGTTTTCCAATAACTACACTCTTTCCACTATCCCCCTATTATTTCCGCTCTGAATACTATATACAATGTTTAGTATGTTCTTTACACTAACTGACATCTTGAAGCCCTTGCATGTGATACTATCTAAACGAGAAGTTTCGATTTCGAATCTATATTATCAGCTCTCCCAAAAATCCTTTTGTAAATAATTTTCCGTTCTTGCGTTTGATAACATGCTTGTCTTTGGGCACGCTATATTTATAAAATTTAAAATATTTTTTTAGCATTTGAATATATCCCCGATTCTGAAATCACTGGACTCACAGGATCTGAGGAGGATCTACTTGATAGAGTAAGCGTGATTGTAGTAAAAGAGTTGCCTAGGTTTTTCTTGAAGCTAACTTTTCCTATATGATGACATCGTTTTTTAGACTATCTCAATCGACGAACAACCTCCGAAAATTATTAAAAAGCTACCTGAAAAAATCGAACCCAAAGAGGGTGAGCAAGCGAAATTGGAAGTTAAGGTTATTGGTAAACCAAAACCAAAAGTCAAATGGCTACGTGACGACGAACAGATATTCGCCTCCGAGGAATATCAAATCGAAAATTTCGAAGATGGGACCTCAGTGTTGGTCATCAATCATGTATATCCCGATGATTTGGGCACAATTAGTTTTGAGGCCTACAATCCGTTGGGAGTGGCAGTAACAACTGCATTATTCGCAGTCGAAGGTACTGTTATGGTTAATGATGTGTTTAACATACGCTTTATAATATCATGGAAAAGTCTTGGAATTGTTAGTAAAATTCTCTTTCAGATCTGCAGCAGCAATACCAAATTCCCTTTTATTCCTATTCCCCTTATACTATATATCTACAATCCAACTTGATAGCATTCCAACTCGTATTCCCCACACAAAACTATACTTTACTTTACACTTATACACACAAGGTTAAATAAATACAAATAGAACTTTAAAAGAATGTATTCACACATTATCTCCATTGCACTGCTGATGAAACGTTAATAATAATATACTATTATCACTTCTACTGTATTGCAACAACCCTAGGCATCGTTGGATCAAAGGATTATCGCAAACCAGAATGGGTGACCCACATGGAAGAGATGCAAGTCGCTCTCAAAGGTATGTATCAGAGAATAATAACCGACTTCTACCACTGTTATGTGTATATGTGTTTTAATTTCGTGTTCTTCAACACACAACTGTTTCCGTACTATTGTCTTAAATCACAAAAAACCACAACAACATTTCACAAAGTCTGTCTCTATTGTATTTGTCCATGTATTATACAATGTTTCGTGCACCAACAAAAACTATGTGAACCTGTCGATTTCGTCCCAAGAAGCTTACAAACTGTGTGGCTTTGTAATTGTCTCAGCCCTTACAGCTCTAAGGCTTATACACCCCTTATCCCCTCAATAAATCCAAGTCCTATTGACAAAAGTAAACGCCTTTAGAAATAATAGTATCAAATTTTCGTTTTCCCTTATCAACATATATATTTTCTTACAGTGTCAATAACTCAAGTGCAAGTAATTGGTCGTATGCTAAAACGTCTTAAATGAATTCTACTTTTTCCAAATTTCTACTAATCCCTATTAAAGTAAATTCCAAGGAAACACTATGACATTCCCCTAGCGCTGCTTGCCTACACATATATCTATGTAATCTTATGTGTTGACTGATTAAATTGCTTGTTTATTCGTTGCATTTGTTCAAGATTTAACAGAAAACAGACAAACAATTTACATATTACTCAAGCAAACTATTTCACACTAGGATTAAATACTGTAAGTACAAGGCACACGTACAGACTAACTCCTGTTGCTTGTAGAGCTTTGTATCTAATATGTAGTTAAACGATGCTATCTTTATGCTTATAGCTGCTAAATGCTCGCCATCGATACTTAATGAAATGCGTGACTGTCGTGCTTCCATTGGGGAAACAGCGAAATTCTCAATACAATTTGCAGGCAATCCGCAACCAGGTACAGTATACTGTCTGTAGTGCACTGCAGTTGGTTGGGGCTGATGGTAGATTGGTTTACTGGTTTTTGTAGATATTCAGTGGTATTTCAACAATGTTCAACTGAGGGCATCAGAAAAGTATCGCATGCTAGTGCAGGAATCAGAGGCAACACTTGAAATATTCAAGATAACAAATGAGGACTGCGGTTACTACAACTGCAAACTGATCAATGAGATTGGCATGACAATGACGCGCGCCAAATTCGACATATCCTCCACATCTGCAGTAGCAGAGGAGGAGGTGAAGGTAAAGACAACTGTCAAGAAGAAGACGGCCAAAAAGACAGCCAGCACAATGGCCAAGCGCACCAGTGCATCTGAATCTCAGTCACTACATAAGACCGAAATCAAAATCGTGCCATCGAGGGCTGTTGAGACTACGGTGAATATAGTGAAAGTCAAACAGGCTGTGCCCATTTTGGTGGAGCACAGTGAAGTATCGGAAGTGATGCAAGTCAAAGATCGCAAGGTAGCCGATGCTGAGCAACGCAGCAGAATCATTGAAGAAGTCGTAGAAGAAGCAGAAGAAATTGAGTCGGAGGAAGAGGTGCATGTCGAAAAGAAATACACATCGAGCAAAACAATTCAGCTAAGTGAAACAGTTGAGCTAATACGCACAAAAATCACAATGAAAACCATTAAGATTGAAGATATCTACGAGATTAGCCAGCATGAAGAGGTGCAATGGCTGCTCGAATCCGTCGAGGCCGAGTCGTTTGGCAAAATTGGCGAAGCGGCGCTCAGGGACTTGGCCACAATTGGTGTGCTGCTGCGTTATGGCTGCACTCATTACGAGATCACATACATGTACGAGCAGAACATATTCATATCGCTACAGAAACCCGAATCACAATCAGCTCTAGTTCAGCTAGTGGAGCGTGAAGGCCATGAGGAGCTGATCACGCAAATACTGAGTGAATCTTCGAACGAGGACGAAACTACATTAGCAGCGACAGTTGGCTTCAAAGCCTTTATACGCATGATACAGACATACGAAATTACAATAGAGACGGTGATACGAAAGTTTCATAGGGAGGATTTCATCTCTCACGATTGGAAGATATGCGGAAAGGAGGTTTGAATTCTGTTCTGTTTGTTTTGTTGCGTTCGTTCTTGCGGTTGTCTAGACAGTTGAAATGGCGGACAAAATTTGACTTAAATTTAAATATTCTTGCTTTAATTGGAAACTGACATTTCAACTGGAAAACCTGAAAATGTTTCATATTTTATAGTCTGAAGTTGTGGGAATATATTCTATTAGTTTATTGACGATTTTTTTTATAACTTTTTACACGATTTACTGAAATCTAGAGAATAGTAGAGACATCCCAAATAATTGAAAGTCATGAGGCTATAACCCGTGTGAAAATAGGTGAGTAAGGTTTTTACTTGTAAGCATATGTATATATTGCTTATTATATAGTTTTTAGAAATACGCTTAGAACAATTGAATTTTGATTACTGAAAAGCTATTTTATTTCTTTTTTACTTTCAAAAATGCAAAACTGCTTTGTAAAATACCTGCGCTTGTGTGCCAATCCCAACAAACTTAATCTAACACAAACGTAGAGGAAACATTTGTCGAGGAACGCACGATAGTTGTCGATGAAGGTTTGAACATAAACACAGATGAACTGTAAAGTCCAAAAATAATACCTCCAGTACTGATGTATCCCAATGAACTACTCAACTACAGTTACTACATCAAGTTATGACACAAGAAACAAAAAAAAACAATAAAACAAAAACAGAAAACAAACAAAAACAAAAACAATAATAGATATTGACTTTTCAAATATATAACAATTAAATTTTGTTAAACCAAATGAATCATGTGTATATTCTAAAAAAGACGCCTACCGATTACCTCAAATGCCCATTAACCGCTGATAACAACCTACTACTACTATGATTTAATGAATTTCTTTAGCCTGTTGCCATATAAGCTTTTTGGTATATTTAAAAACAATTTTTAATACTTCTACGTACCTGAATACAAATGTAGAAGAGCTTCTTTTTATTGAATGCACGAAGTCAAACAGTTGGCTTGGCTTGAGGTAAGTTTTCAGAGAGTTTTCCTTTTGTAATATGTACTGCATATGCTGTTTGTCTGTTGAGCTCTGTTTATGTGTCGCCAAGAATCTAATAAGAAGCAAAGAATGTTCATTAATTACAAATGCTTATCATATAATTATTAAAAAATGCATTTGCCTTGCTTCATGCACTTTTTAAACATTGTTAGTGAATTGTCCATAATAGCACCTGAAAGAGAAACCGACATTGTCATTGTTTAATTACATTACATTCGCAGAAACTACAACCACTAAGGTGGAAAAACAATTCATACAGCAACAACAAGAACATGAACATGAACAAGCACTAGGTCAACAACAACAATTACAAATACAGGCTGAACAAACTGTGCATAGAAAAACCAAAACTAAAAAGCATAAAAAACATACAGAAATTATACAACAACAACAAGAACAACAAATACAACAAAGTATTGAAGAGATCACAAGCTACGAGCAAAGAGAAACATTTGCAGAGGAATCGAACACTGAAGCACCTACAATTGAGACACTCGAGCAGATTGAAGAGCTTTTGCCATATAGCACAAATCTATCCACGCAAAATGTACCAAAAAATACACACGAAACAATTCCAGTTTCTGTAACAACAGAATTCTCCACACCTAAACCTATCGCAGCACAAGTACATGACGAACTCTTACCGCAAAAGACTTTAGCTGTGAATGAGGAATGTTTAGCATTCGATGAGGTAAGTTCTAGCTTGGCTCCGACCAGTCCGGCGACTAGTGAGCTAATCGAGCAAGTTGAAGTTCATGAAAGACATGCAGCTTCTATTATTGAGACCCAGACAAAGGAAACTCACAAGGAACTGAAGTCTTCTAAAATACCAAAGCTCATACAAGCTGAGCGTAAAATAAAGGAGTCGCGTCCATTGCTAATTGAAGCACCTAGCATCGAGGATTCTATCGTCGATTTGGAGTCAGCAAAAGCTCCCATTCAGCAAGCACATGGTGAAATCCTGTATTCCCATGAGCTCACCTCACAGCAGCAGTCTATTTTGGACAGCGTCGAAAGCCTGAAAACCCCAGCAGCTAATACGGAAAAAGCCCAATCACAATTGCTGGAAAACGAAAGTATTCTGATCACTGAATCTTTTAGAGGAGAGACAGTAGATAAGGAAACATCGCCAATAAAGCCCAGCAGCGAGCAAATCTCTCCCAAATTCACCCCAAGTGTTAGTCTAGGCATTAGTGAGTGCCAGCCGGAAGATTCTGTAGCGGAACTCTCATCATCAAAAGTGGTTCGTGCAGAGACCACATCAATTACAGTCGAAGAGTTTAAGGCATTCAGCACTAGTGAATCTAGGGCATTAGAGTGTGAAGAGAATATGAGCGCAGTATGTCAACCCACAAAGTCTATGGCAGAATTATCCATAAAGCCCGAAGAGGCACAGCCTGTGGTGCAGCAAGTTGACATAATGGAGTCGATTACTGACGAAAAACCAGCACCACAGCATATTAAGGAAAGTCAGGCCCTTAAACAACTAGTGTTGATGGAGAGCCTTATAAATACCACAGCTGATGCGCGTAGTCCCATTGAAGAGTCTTTGCCAGCCTTCCAGACAGATGCGCACGTAGCAGACTCTAGCTTGGAAACACAATCGCATGTTATTACAGAGCAGACTGTTTTCAACGAAGATGGCCCGAGGGAATTAGCTTTAGAGAAAATACCCAAAAACATAGCAGCTACTTTAAGCCAAACCAGTTCTCTTACAATTGGAGAATCCCAGGAAACGCAATTAGTCGAAACGACGGAAAAGCTGGTTAAGCCAACTGTTGAGCCAGCTAAGCCCGCGAAGGAGTCATTCACTACGGCCTTTGGAGCCGCTATTGGTAATCAGGAGGCAATATATGATACCGCTGAGTTTATAGAACATTCAGCCACCGAATTGAATCAAGGTAAAATAAATATAACAGAAGCAGAACTAGTGGCAGAAGTGCATGCGCAAACGATTATTGACTCTGAGCAGAAATTGTTGCCTGATCTGCCCGAAACTGGCAAGGCTAAGCTGAATTTTATTGAACAAAAGGCATTGGATATCAAGCAGGATACGGGTATTGAGAAAGAAACTAGTCTGGTCCCTAAAAAGCCACTGGACGAACAAGCCGCTGTGGAAAAAATGATTTCCGCTGAACTGAAGGCGAGCAGTGTATGGGAAGTACAACCACATGTTATGCCTGCTGATATTGCAAGTGATAGTTGCAAACCAGCATCAGCGAGTCCTGTGTTCGAGACAAAAACAGTTGGAGTAACAATTGAACATGAATCGCTAAAGGGCACAGATTATCTGGAGACCCAACGCCAACCCGAACTTAGGTCTGGTCAATTACTTATGAGTGAAAATCAACAGTCGTTAGAAGTAACAGCAGTGCAGGTCATTGAGAGCTCCGGAATTATCGAATCAGTACCGCAGCAGCCACAATTAAAGGCTGAGGAAAAAACTGACACATTAACTCATACTCAGTATGACGAGCAAATAATATTGGAGTCAACTATGGACTATGCAAGTGAAGGCAAGCCAACTGCGGCCCTTGCAGATATTACAATGCCTGCTCAAATTGGAGCTGATGTAAGAGAGCAAGCCTTACTAGAAAGCTTGCAGCCTCAGCAGGAAGTAGTACAGCCCCAACAGCAAATGTCAGCAACCACTTTTGACCTTCTACAACCATTGGAGACCAGTTCTCATCTTACTCTAGAGCAGGAAATGGTTTTGCGGCCAGATGAACAAAATAGAGTTCAGAATGCTTCTATCGGAACTCTCAGCGCTTTACAAGTGGCAAATAAATCAAGACCTCAGCACATGGAATCAGTTCAAGATCTTGGTGAGAAGACGCAGCCCACTCAGCAACAAGCTGAAGTCAATATAGGCGAAGTATCACTACCTGAATGTGAAGAGGTAACACCTTTTGATGCTGTAAAAGACTACTTAGCACCTTCTCTTAATAAATCGGCTATAACTAATGTACAAATCATAGAAAATACAACCGCTTTGGACACTACGACAGCTATAACTCATGAAAAAGCTGATGACATTGAAGAGCCAATTGTCATTCAACAATCTGCTCTTACTCCAAAATTAAATGAGTCGACCAAAAAATCGCCAATTTTAGAGCAGCCGAATGTTTTTGATCATATTGCAGAGCTGCACGACTTTAATCCAACTTTAGAGACTACTCAAAAAACACTAAGCAGCTTTGATGAAATACATGTTCAGGAAACGAAAACATTTGAAAAAGAAATTACACTCGAAGAGGACTCTAAGCCGATCAAGCAGTTGGCTAAAGTATCATTAGATTCAACAACTGGTATTGTAGTCAGCCAACAGGAGAATACTTTCGAATTGGAACGTGATCTAGAGATGCCAACTACTTCAATGGAGCAAGCAAAATGTATTGCCTCCGAATTGCTAAAGCTTCCACTGACCGAAGGCGTGCAAGACAATCAATCAACTGGAGATCTGGCTGAGTTTAAGGTTTCTAATAAATTTGCAATATCAAGTATTGATGCCTTAACAGAATCAACGACATCTGAAGCAATCATATATGACAATGTCTTATTAACTGAAGTTAGGGATCAGCCCGAATGTGTGAGTTCTCAGTCAATAATTCCCCATGAGCATAAGTTGATAACTGAGTGTGTTGTCGTTTCCGAAGTGGAAGAATATGAGAGAATACAGGCAAAGGAAAGCAGTGCTAAGCCCATTCAGGATACATTCAGCCAGTTAGCTGTAAAGGAAAATCAAAATACACTAGAGGCAGAATCGGAATTAAAAACAAAACGATCAGAGGAATTCAATGCAAAAGTTAGCGATGTTCTTTCACCTCTCTACACCAAGGGAGTCGATGAAATCAAGTTGTATGAAACAGTTGCTCAAACGAAGCCTACTGATAAAGTTAGTGAGCAAGAAGCCGGTATTTCCCATGTAATGTCGCATGTACCTATTACAAATCTACAACAAATTATAGAATCAACAGACAAACTTTTCGCCGAGGGTCAAACATGCTCGATTGCCACCTCAAGTGATAATGCCTCACAGTTAAAGGTACCTGTAAATACTTCCATACAAACTGTAGAGGACACAAATGAATTCATTCCATCAACATATATTGAGTCAACTGCTCAACCCATTTTGGAAGGACATCATTATGAAGTAACAGTAACAGATAGTCAATACGTAGAGGGTACAGAAGCTTTATCGCCAACTGACGAAGTACTTAGAAAGGCAACTGAATCATTGAATGCAATATTCAAAGCTACATCACAACTAGAAGAAGTGAACGTATTTCAAAAGGAGTGTATCATTCAACCTACAGAATCTCGAGAAATCACAGCCAAATCTAGCTTAACAGACATTCTTCAGCACACAACAACAACGGATGCAATACCCTATGAACAACCTCAAGATATTAAACAAGCCGAATCTAATACTCAGAATCTTCAGGAACCTCAATTGGTATCAACCGACGCCAATAAACTTACCGTTCAACTTGATGACCTGATTCTGCAAAGAGAGGATACGTTCTTGGACACTCAACCAACAGGTTATGGTAAACCTTTTATTGAAGGTACGCAACGTGAAATGCTTATCTCCGAAGTCATACCTATTGAAAATATTGACAACTTAGCCTTGCCGACAATTAAGACTGAAGAATTGTCGACTAATGTAACATGTCAAACAGAAATTCATAAAACTGTATCGACGGTTGCAATATACGAAAAAGCAAACGACCTAAAGTCTGAGCACCCAATTGAGAGACACGGAGCGGAACACACGGGATCTGATATTAAATGTGCTCAAGTTACAACAATGCAAACTAGCTTTATCAAAGAAGATAATATGGCTCCCCTAAACATAGTCAAAAATGTTGCTCAAGCTACCAGCACAGAGAGAGTGCCATTAATAACCGAAGAAGTTATCAGCGTGAGTTCTATACAAGAAAGCTACGATCTTAATGTACCAACAGAAGTGAATGCTGATTTAAAATGTGAAATGGGAAATCAGGCTACAACTATTACAGAGCAATTTATTTATGAGGAATCTCCCAATATAGAGCTTGAACAGAGCGAACAATTAACATCAAAGATCAATTTGGTAGAAAGTTCTACGAACCCAGTTCAAACATCTACTGTAAGCGTATACGAAAATATTGAAGGACACGGCGTTTTCAAGCCACAAAGTGCGCAACCAAAATCCGATATTTTAACGGACCTAAAGGTTTCAGTGGTGGAGGAAGTTACTGTCGTATCATCTATAGATAGTTTGCCGAAAGAGGAGCCTACACTGGCAACAGCAACTAGCGATAATATACCACATAGAAAAGTGCTGGAAACCAGGCAAGAGCCCTGTGAAAATGTACAAAATTTAGTGGACGAATCCACGCCAATGGTCTGTGCGAGCTATACACTTGCGGATACAAAAGTTGCAGCCGTATCCAGTGAACCTCATGTGAAGGAAACCATTGCTGAAACAAGCAGCTCCACTGTAGATTTGGAACATGCCAAGCCTTCAATAATACCTTTCAGCTCTCAGTGTCTCAGTGAACAGATAGTTACAGAAGAACAAGTCACTACACTCCATAAAAAGAATGAAACACTGCACACAAATGCAAATATAAGTTTTGAAGCAATCAATAAAAATCAAGCTGGTATCTTAAATTTAGAATTGATTGAAAATGTTCAACCTACAATAGAGGACAAAGAGAGTGCTTTACAGAGAACATTAGTTGTCTCTAATAATATAAATGTTCATTTACCCAAAGATGCTAAATTACTTGAAAAAGATAAACCACAAACTGACTTAGAGCTTAAATCTGACTCAAATATACAATATCTACCACCACTAAGTTCAAATGTAACAAAACATATGGTAAAATCCCATACAGGTAAGTATATAATAAGGTTAATTTTAAGATTGTCAACTGCAAAAGGCGTATTACTTCCACAACTATTTGACCCCCAAGCTACAAAACACATATTACACAAAACAATTCTCAAAATACATGCAGAATTAAGACTAAAAGCTAATTTTTCACACAGATACAAATCAAGCCACAGACACAAAACACACACAACAAAAGACACCAACACAAATAAATGAAACACACGAAGTTGAAACAAAGGATTTACCTGAAACTATTCAAATTGTTGACAAGCTCACAGAAGATGGTCAGCATAAGCAAAAAACAATACGAACACGTCTCATAAAAAAGGCGAAGGGCGACAACCAAGAAATCACAAGGATTGAAACCGTCGAAGAAGACGACAAGCAGCCCGAAACAACTGTCACTGTGGAAGAAGTTCCTGTAGAAGAGGAACAACCTGAAGAGATTCGGGAACTTCCAGAGGAAGTTCGTGTTATTGAATCAGTAACCGAAGATGGCAAGCCCAAAAAGAAGAAGATACGCACACGTATTATCAAGAAGGTTAAGGGTGATAAGCAAGAGGTCACCAAGATTGAAACCGTCGAAGAAGACGACAAGCAGCCCGAAACAACTGTCACAGTGGAAGAAGTTCCAGTGGAAGAGGAACAACCTGAAGAGATTCGGGAACTTCCAGAAGAAATCCGTGTTGTGGAATCAGTAACCGAAGACGGCAAGCCCAAAAAGAAGAAGATACGCACACGTATTATCAAGAAGGTTAAGGGTGATAAGCAAGAGGTCACCAAGATTGAAACCGTCGAAGAAGACGACAAGCAGCCCGAAACAACCGTCACTGTGGAAGAAGTTCCAGTGGAAGAGGAACAACCTGAACAGATTCGGGAACATCCAGAGGAAGTCCGTGTTGTTGAATCAGTAACCGAAGACGGCAAGCCCAAAAAGAAGAAGATACGCACACGTATTATCAAGAAGGTTAAGGGTGATAAGCAAGAGGTCACCAAGATTGAAACCGTCGAAGAAGACGACAAACAGCCCGAAACAACCGTCACTGTGGAAGAAGTTCCAGTGGAAGAGGAACAACCTGAAGAGATTCGGGAACTTCCAGAAGAAGTCCGTGTTGTTGAATCAGTAACCGAAGACGGTAAGCCCAAAAAGAAGAAGATACGCACACGTATTATCAAGAAGGTTAAGGGTGATAAGCAAGAGGTCACCAAGATTGAAACCGTCGAAGAAGACGACAAGCAGCCCGAAACAACCGTCACTGTGGAAGAAGTTCCAGTGGAAGAGGAACAACCTGAAGAGATTCGGGAACTTCCAGAGGAAGTCCGTGTTGTTGAATCAGTAACCGAAGACGGCAAGCCCAAAAAGAAGAAGATACGCACACGTATTATCAAGAAGGTTAAGGGTGATAAGCAAGAGGTCACCAAGATTGAAACCGTCGAAGAAGACGACAAGCAGCCCGAAACAACCGTCACTGTGGAAGAAGTTCCAGTGGAAGAGGAACAACCTGAAGAGATTCGGGAACTTCCAGAGGAAGTCCGTGTTGTTGAATCAGTAACCGAAGACGGCAAGCCCAAAAAGAAGAAGATACGCACACGTATTATCAAGAAGGTTAAGGGTGATAAGCAAGAGGTCACCAAGATTGAAACCGTCGAAGAAGACGACAAGCAGCCCGAAACAACCGTCACTGTGGAAGAAGTTCCAGTGGAAGAGGAACAACCTGAAGAGATTCGGGAACTTCCAGAGGAAGTCCGTGTTGTTGAATCAGTAACCGAAGACGGCAAGCCCAAAAAGAAGAAGATACGCACACGTATTATCAAGAAGGTTAAGGGTGATAAGCAAGAGGTCACCAAGATTGAAACCGTCGAAGAAGACGACAAGCAGCCCGAAACAACCGTCACTGTGGAAGAAGTTCCAGTGGAAGAGGAACAACCTGAAGAGATTCGGGAACTTCCAGAGGAAGTCCGTGTTGTTGAATCAGTAACCGAAGACGGTAAGCCCAAAAAGAAGAAGATACGCACACGTATTATCAAGAAGGTTAAGGGTGATAAGCAAGAGGTCACCAAGATTGAAACCGTCGAAGAAGACGACAAGCAGCCCGAAACAACCGTCACTGTGGAAGAAGTTCCAGTGGAAGAGGAACAACCTGAAGAGATTCGGGAACTTCCAGAGGAAGTCCGTGTTGTTGAATCAGTAACCGAAGACGGCAAGCCCAAAAAGAAGAAGATACGCACACGTATTATCAAGAAGGTTAAGGGTGATAAGCAAGAGGTCACCAAGATTGAAACCGTCGAAGAAGACGACAAGCAGCCCGAAACAACCGTCACTGTGGAAGAAGTTCCAGTGGAAGAGGAACAACCTGAAGAGATTCGGGAACTTCCAGAGGAAGTCCGTGTTGTTGAATCAGTAACCGAAGACGGCAAGCCCAAAAAGAAGAAGATACGCACACGTATTATCAAGAAGGTTAAGGGTGATAAGCAAGAGGTCACCAAGATTGAAACCGTCGAAGAAGACGACAAGCAGCCCGAAACAACCGTCACTGTGGAAGAAGTTCCAGTGGAAGAGGAACAACCTGAAGAGATTCGGGAACTTCCAGAGGAAGTCCGTGTTGTTGAATCAGTAACCGAAGACGGCAAGCCCAAAAAGAAGAAGATACGCACACGTATTATCAAGAAGGTTAAGGGTGATAAGCAAGAGGTCACCAAGATTGAAACCGTCGAAGAAGACGACAAGCAGCCCGAAACAACCGTCACTGTGGAAGAAGTTCCAGTGGAAGAGGAACAACCTGAAGAGATTCGGGAACTTCCAGAGGAAGTCCGTGTTGTTGAATCAGTAACCGAAGACGGCAAGCCCAAAAAGAAGAAGATACGCACACGTATTATCAAGAAGGTTAAGGGTGATAAGCAAGAGGTCACCAAGATTGAAACCGTCGAAGAAGACGACAAGCAGCCCGAAACAACCGTCACTGTGGAAGAAGTTCCAGTGGAAGAGGAACAACCTGAAGAGATTCGGGAACTTCCAGAGGAAGTCCGTGTTGTTGAATCAGTAACCGAAGACGGCAAGCCCAAAAAGAAGAAGATACGCACACGTATTATCAAGAAGGTTAAGGGTGATAAGCAAGAGGTCACCAAGATTGAAACCGTCGAAGAAGACGACAAGCAGCCCGAAACAACCGTCACTGTGGAAGAAGTTCCAGTGGAAGAGGAACAACCTGAAGAGATTCGGGAACTTCCAGAGGAAGTCCGTGTTGTTGAATCAGTAACCGAAGACGGCAAGCCCAAAAAGAAGAAGATACGCACACGTATTATCAAGAAGGTTAAGGGTGATAAGCAAGAGGTCACCAAGATTGAAACCGTCGAAGAATACGACAAGCAGCCCGAAACAACCGTCACTGTGGAAGAAGTTCCAGTGGAAAAGGAACAACCTGAAGAGATTCGGGAACTTCCTGAGGAAGTCCGTGTGATTGAATCGGTAGCCGAAGATGGCAAGCCCAAAAAGAAGAAGATACGCACACGTATTATCAAGAAGGTTAAGGGTGATAAGCAAGAGGTCACCAAGATTGAAACCGTCGAAGAAGACGACAAGCAGCCCGAAACAACCGTCACTGTGGAAGAAGTTCCAGTGGAAGAGGAACAACCTGAAGAGATTCGGGAACTTCCAGAGGAAGTCCGTGTTGTTGAATCAGTAACCGAAGACGGTAAGCCCAAAAAGAAGAAGATACGCACACGTATTATCAAGAAGGTTAAGGGTGATAAGCAAGAGGTCACCAAGATTGAAACCGTCGAAGAAGACGACAAGCAGCCCGAAACATCTGTCACTGTGGAAGAAGTTCCTGTAGAAGAGGAACAACCTGAAGAGATTCGGGAACTTCCAGAGGAAGTCCGTGTTGTTGAATCAGTAACCGAAGATGGCAAGCCCAAAAAGAAGAAGATACGCACACGTATTATCAAGAAGGTTAAGGGTGATAAGCAAGAGGTCACCAAGATTGAAACCGTCGAAGAAGACGACAAGCAGCCCGAAACAACCGTCACTGTGGAAGAAGTTCCAGTGGAAGTGGAACAACCTGAAGAGATTCGGGAACTTCCAGAGGAAGTCCGTGTTGTTGAATCAGTAACCGAAGACGGCAAGCCCAAAAAGAAGAAGATACGCACACGTATTATCAAGAAGGTTAAGGGTGATAAGCAAGAGGTCACCAAGATTGAAACCGTCGAAGAAGACGACAAGCAGCCCGAAACAACCGTCACTGTGGAAGAAGTTCCTGTAGAAGAGGAACAACCTGAAGAGATTCAGGAACTTCCAGAGGAAGTCCGTGTGGTTGAATCCGTAACCAAAGATGGCAAGCCCAAAAAGAAGAAGATACGCACACGTATTATCAAGAAGGTTAAGGGTGATAAGCAAGAGGTCACCAAGATTGAAACCGTCGAAGAAGACGACAAGCAGCCCGAAACAACTGTCACTGTGGAAGAAGTTCCAGTGGAAGAGGAACAACCTGAAGAGATTCGGGAACTTCCAGAGGAAGTCCGTGTTGTGGAATCAGTAACCGAAGACGGCAAGCCCAAAAAGAAGAAGATACGCACACGTATTATCAAGAAGGTTAAGGGTGATAAGCAAGAGGTCACCAAGATTGAAACCGTCGAAGAAGACGACAAGCAGCCCGAAACAACCGTCACTGTGGAAGAAGTTCCTGTAGAAGAGGAACAACCTGAAGAGATTCGGGAACTTCCAGAGGAAGTCCGTGTTGTGGAATCAGTAACCGAAGACGGCAAGCCCAAAAAGAAGAAGATACGCACACGTATTATCAAGAAGGTTAAGGGTGATAAGCAAGAGGTCACCAAGATTGAAACCGTCGAAGAAGACGACAAGCAGCCCGAAACAACCGTCACTGTGGAAGAAGTTCCTGTAGAAGAGGAACAACCTGAAGAGATTCGGGAACTTCCAGAGGAAGTCCGTGTTGTGGAATCAGTAACCGAAGACGGCAAGCCCAAAAAGAAGAAGATACGCACACG